GGCATCCGAAAAAAGGCTTTTGCGCGGCGGGCTTGTCCTGAAAAGCCACTGCAGTCGACAGTGAACGTTCAAGATGTTTGACAGAATCCAGCACCTGGTGAACCGAGCTATGGTACTTGTCAGCCACAAACTTGCCGCCTTTGGACAAATAGGCCATAACACATGCAGGGATGGCAAACGGAGTGCAAACATGAACTGGTGTATTGAAGCGACGTTCCAACTGTACAAGGCTCAGCCGTTTCAACTTGTGCCTGATGAAGGCGTCAAAATCGATAGAAAAGTCAGTTCGCCAAAAACTCCGCCTGCGAGATCTTGAGGTAGATAGTCAATGCCTGGATCGTCCAGGCGTTTGGCTCCGGAAGCTCACTGACTTGTTCTTCGCGTGATGGTCTTTGCCGTTGCCTTTGCCTTTACCTTTCCCTTTGAGTTGTCCAGAATCTTTTCCCTTGCCTTTCCCCTTGCCTTTGCCTTTGCCCTTAGGGGTAGACGTGGATTTCGCAGAAGCACGCGAAGTAGATCTGGAGGGTCGTCGCGACGAACGCTGAGAAGAACGCTTGGACTTGGAACTCGAAGAGGACCTAGCCCTGGTCGACGGTTTTGTGTCGCTCGAGGGTTTTGGGTCAGGACGGGCCTTCTTGATGATGAGGTTATATTTGTCGGCAAGATCCGGGTACTGCTTGACAAAGAAAGCGAGCGCTCCATGTTGAGAAATCTTCTGCTTGTGATTCTTACCCGCTCCACTCCCGGACTGGAGAGCTGAGAATTCTAGCACTGCCAGGGCCAGGAGCCTATTGACATCCATGAGTCTGAATTCTGACTCTGCTTCCAGAAGAGCTTGCTCCTGTTTGGTCTTGTTGGCCTGCTCCTTTTCAATGCGTGACCGAGCTTTGGGGACTTCCTTGCGAAAGGTGAGATCTGCATAGTTACGCACATGCTGTTTGATGGATGCGATGGCATACTCAGGGAGGACCGTACGGTTCTTGTGAATCCAAGCAGTAGTGGTGTCGACCAGCTTTTGCAACTGAACTTGTGGCTTCACTTGCGAAGCGAAGAAAGCAGTGCATTGCCTTTGATACGAAACCACGAAATCTTGACACTCTCTTGCATGACGTTTGCGAAGATTCAAGTACGCCTGCGTGATGTCAAATGGAACTTCACGGTCAGCATCCTCAACGAACATGTCGACATCCCCCTCGCCCAATAGAGCTGTGCAGGACTGCAGCTCTCTCGCATGAGCCTTGAAGGCAAGAGGCCATTGCCAAGACTTTTTGCACTCTTCAGAAAACTGACGCTGAAGTTCGCCTGAGCGTTCAATGGCCAAGTATTTCTGCTGAAGTGCGTCCTGAGTCAAACTCTGCTGCAAGGTACTTTTGAAACTATTTGCCCACTCAAGAAGGATCGACTTCAATTCCGGATCGACCAGAGGCAAGATTTCGTTGGGGTCAGAATACTTGTCCATCTGGAGGAGCTGCAGTTGCTGTTCCATGAGGCGGTTTTGGACCTTCTGCTCGTGGAGTAGCTGCGCGATCATGGTTGCGTGGCTTAATTCTTGAGGTCTTTCCAAACCCGGTGGCAAACTTGCAACCGCAGGGCGTCCCACGAAAGTCGGTGGAGCTTGTTCTCTGCTGCGACTGCGATTCAAAGTACCAGGATTCTGCTGCATGTCGAGGCGAAAGCGCTGGAGATTGTAAACGCACACTTCTCTGGGATGCGCTCTCT